CGCTGTCCCAGACCGCCCGCCCTCGCTCTCGCTGTCCCAGACCGCCCACCCTCGCTCTCGCTGTCCCAGACCTCCCGCCCTCACTCTCGCTGTTCTGGGCTGCCTATTCTCACTCTTGCTGCCCTGAACTGCCTGCTCTCACTGTCTTGAAGCCTGTTCCTACTCCTGCTATCGCTGGCCATCTCGGGCTGCCTGCTCCTTCTCTCGCTGCCGGCCTCCCCAGGCTGCATGTTCCCTGCTTATACCACCGCTCGGGATGACTACTATTGACACCGGGGACCTCTCTCACCGCCACATTGGGCTTGCCCTCCCAGTGCTGGCTCAATCTCCTCTGTGATAATTTCCTCCGCATGCACAAACCCTCACCTCACAAAATGTAGATTAAACTGAGGAAAAAATGTTGTGAAAGGAGAGAAACAAAAAGTGAAAGAGATAAAAAGTAAAAGTAAAAGTAAAAGTAGAGCAGATAAACCCCAAGCAGAATCCCCTACGCTGTGCTGCTACTCTGCCACCATCTTGTTGGATCTTCTTGACTCTGCAGAAAAACTGATGGAAGGTGTCACCAACAGTGCTATCGAGCAGCACCTGATCAGCAATAACCTGCTCGGCGATGCCCAGTTTGGGTTCCGCCAGGGCCACTCAGCTCCTGGTCTCATTGCAGCCTTGGTTCAAACGAAGACAAAAGAGCTGAATTCCAGAGGTGAGGTGACAGTGACAGTTCTTGACATCAAGGCTGCATTGTACTGAGTGTGGCATCAAGGAGGCCTAGCAAAACTGGATTCAGTGGGAATTCTCCAGTGGTTGGAGTCATACCTGTCACATAGGAAGATGGTTATGGTTGTCGGAGGTCAGTCATCTCAGCTCCAGGACATCTCTGCAGGAGTTCCTTGGGGTAATGTCCTCGGTCCAACCATCTTCAGCTGCTTCATCAATGACCTTCGCTCCATCATGTCAGAAGTGGGATGTTCGGTGATGATTGCGCAGTGTTCAGTATCATTCACGACTCCTCAGATACTGAAGCAATCCATGTTCACATGCAACAAGATCTGGACAATATCCAGGCTTGGCCTGACTGGTGGCAAGTAACATTAGTGCCACATAAATACCAAGCAACAGCCATCTCCAGTAAGAGACAATCTAACCACCACCCCTTGGCATTCAATGGTATTACTATCACTGAATCCTCTGTTATCAACATGCTGGGGCTTACTTGATCAGAAACTCAACTGCACACACCATATAAATACAGTGGCTATGAGAGGCTAGGAATGCTGCAGCGAGTAACAGCGACAAGTGCAGCAGATACATGGGAACACCACCAAATGCAAGCTCCCCTCCAAGCCACTCATTCTTTCTTGGAAATATATCACTGTTCCTTCACTGTCAGTGGGTCAAAATCCTGGAATTCATTCCGTATGAGCAACGTGGGGTCTTTCTACAGCATGTGGACTGCAGCGGTTCAAGAAAGCAGCTCACCACCAACTTCTCAAAGGCAATTAGAGACTGGCAATAAATGCTGGCCCAGCCAGGGATGCCCATGTCACATGAATGAACAAAAAAAAAATTGATGAATGTGTGGTTGATTTTAAAGCTTTCTTTTACACATACCATTGTCTCTATACAGTTAATTGGTTCTAAACAGTGTATAATGGATGAATGGGCATTGAAGCGTTATGGCTTAGCATGGGGGTACAAATAGCCATGTAGCTGAGTGGAGGTACATTAGATAGCATTGATAGGGCATTGGGAGTGTGTGGTAGGTGGGAGAGTATGAGGGGTAAGGGTCAGGCGGCTGTACTAATTTCATTGTAACTGGAATGACGTACCACAGCACTGAGGGAGATGGTGGCACAGTGTAGTGACATTATCATCATCATCATAGAAGCCATACAGTGTGGAAACAAGCCCTTTGGCCCAACAAGTTCACACTGACCCTCAGAGTACCCACCCAAACCCATCCCCCTATAACCCACCTAATCTACACATCCCTGAACACTACGGGCAATTTAGCATGGCCAATCCACCTAGCCTACACATCTTTGGACTGACTAGTAATCTAGAACATTAGGCTGATAATCTGGGGCCATTGGTTGAAAGCCCATCATGGCAGATGGTGAAATTTGAATTCAAAACGAAATTCTGGAATAACAACCAAGTCTAATGGTGACAACATAACCACTATGAATTTTCATTAAAAAACCCACCACAATTGTCCATTTGGGAAGGAAATTTGTTCTACTCACATAGTCTGATCCACATGGCTCTCTGGACTCTTCAAAATGAGGTTGATTTTGAACCAACCTTTAAGATGGGCAATAAATGCAAGCCTAGCCAGTGATGTCATTCCCATTCGAAAATGTTTAAGACGTCAATCTTTTACACTGCCTGTTTTGGCACCTGGTTGCCTATGCATTCCTTCACAGCTCTGCAGACACATTGCAGCCTGAGGAGGTGGGACCAAGCCAAGAAGTTTCCTGTTATGGAGATGCTGATGTTGGACAGGGGTGGACAAGGTTAGAAGTTACACAACACCAGGTTATAGTCCAACAGGTTTATTTGAAATCACAAGCTTTTGGAGCGCTGCTGACCTCACCTGACGAAGGAGCAACATTCCGAAAGCTTGTGATTTCAAATAAACCTGATGGACTATAACCTGGTGTCATGACACATCTGACCAGGAACTTTCCTGACTCCCGCTACCATTTTGATGATGAAAATCCAGTGGATAGCACTGCTTTTTCACCTTGGCAAAAATATGGAAGTCTCTCCTTAACAGTTTGGTGGGTGTACCTGCATCAGATTGACTGCAGTGGTACAAAAAGATGACTCATCACCATCTGCTCAAAGCCACAATTACTGGCCTTGTAATCGAAGTTCATATTTTATGAATAAGAGAAACTAAATCGACTACAGCAGACTTCTTTATTGGGAGTTAACAATTGATCATTTTTGCAGTTTCAAAATAATCCGAAGTGAAATAAGATGGTTCTACAATGTGGCTGATTACTAGTGACATGGCTCTGCTTAATGAGAGCGTGAACTCTGGGACCTGTTTGGTTGAAGGGTCAGTGACCTTTGTGATCCAGTTGGTTGAAGTACAGCGATGTGTTTTCTGGTTGTGCAGGTTAAGTGGGCGAAGGCTCTTGACGCAACTGGTCACACTTTGGCACAGATACAATTTTTTAAAAAGAAAACAGATGATTGGGGCAAGTTCTGAACACAATAAAGACTAGACAAAAGCTCAAATTACCATAGGTCAGGGTATTTTCTCTTCTGCCTGGCACACTTGACCTGCTGGTGTCGTAATCATAGCTGACAATCATCGCATCCCCTTCAATCACGGTGAAGCGTTTTCGATATTCCTGATCCAGGAAAGAATTGGGCGACTCTGATCCTTTATGCACTGGTTTGCCTAAAGCATGTCTGCTGGAATCCTCAATGGGCAGGTTCCCTTTATCATCCCTTTTAAATGGAGAAAAATATGATTCAAATCCTGTTTATATTTCTGATCATACCAACAGAAATTAAGCCTGTTATTCCATTGAAAGAAATATTTACATGATAGTGTCAACAGCATATTTATTCTCTGAACGTTTCTAATTTTAATTTCACATGTTTGCTGCACATGCATCTCCAATTGTAAGTTCCTGCATGATTAGCATTATTGAGGAGGTTATGGTTTTTGTGAACTTTTATCAATGACAGGAGAAAACAGGAACTGTACATGGTATCAGACTATACAATTCCACTTCTTTTTGACAAGCACGTCAACATTGCACATCTCAGGCAGTAGGTTCATGAAAGGCGGAACGCATCAACAAATCAGGTATGTAATTTTGTCATGGAAGTTATCATGCTGTCACTGAGACTTTAGAAGACATTTTTATAAATAAGTAGTTTGTAAATTATAAAATGCCAAAGTCATAAGGCTCTCCGTGGTATCTTTTTGTGATTGGTATAATAAATGCTTTTGCAGCTATTCAGTTCAAGCCCAAATGCTATCAGCAATTTACTTGAACAACATGCACTGCAGGTTTTTGGTCAATCTTGTACGCTCGGTCCTGTGGTTCCCTGAATCATGATGGGATTTTGAGATCTGTGGCTGCTGAAGTAAATTGCTGTGATGCACCACTGACATAGTATAGATGCTACAAGGTTTTATCATGCTCAACTCAATCAAGCAATGTAAAACCAATATGTCTGCTCTTAGAAAGGGATCTGTAAAGGTTAAAAGAAAGCAATGCAGTGAGGTATGGTTGGGCATGCTTTCTGACATAATTTCTCTTGAAAATATTACAAGTTCCGTGAGAAACCTGAGAAACAAACATCCACATTTTCACTTAACAGAAACTAAGATACTACACACTCACCCAACAACATTTATCAATAGGTTGCAAGTACCAAGCCTAGAGTTACCAATTCTACTGTGTACGGATAAGGATCACTGAAGAGAGAAAAAAATGGGAAGGGAGGGTGGAGAGAGGCTGTCTTCGACCACTATTTATTAGGGACTTTTCATTCATCAAGGCACAGAGTAGAAAATGCACACCTTTCAAATAATATTACTTCTCTCTGAGCTATGAAGGATGGGCAGCAACATTGGAGCTTATCAAGTCCTCATGACAGATCAGCCAACAAGGTATTTTTAGGGCTTTCTGTCAATAACTAATGGCAGAAAATAAACACCAATAGAAGGAGTCATTGCATAAAAAAGAAAGTCAAGTGTCAAACGTAATCTACTTTATCAATCAATGGAGCTGCTATCCACAACACACATGACCCTAATGAAATAAATAAAACTGCCATAGTCCCAGAGGACCATAAGGCTGCTGTCTCATAGAGGGAGACAACTGGTGGTTTAACTTGACGGTCACCATATTTCAGGTGAGGAGTGATGCTGAGAAGGCAGGTCCTTCATGGTGACATCAGTTAGTGTGGGAATTGAACCCATGCTGTTGGCATCACTCTGCATTGCAAACCAACCATCCAGTCAACCGAGCTAACTAATCCCCTCCTACATTCTACAGCTGATTCATGTCAAGCATTGCTGCCAGACTTGCCTGGTTTAAAAATAGAAGAACAATTAGCAAACAGGTCTCACAACCCACGAGAATTGTGGTTGACACTGTTAGAAAGAACAGAGTTAATACTCCTGAAATGCTACCGTTTTCTTTTTGGGGATGGGGAGGGTTGGGGACTGTATGAATGGGAGGGAAATGTCATAAAATATCACCAAAATAAATGGAATAAAGCAATTAGCTGAGAAGCAAAAATGAGTACAATGTTTGAAAATGAGTATAATTCTAGAAAATTCATGTTGGATTAAAGACCCAAAGGGAAAAAAGCTGCATCCCGACAAAAAATATTTCAGAGTGTGACCAAGACAAAAGAACATTTACAGTGGCACCAAAAAATCATACAGTTGATATAATTGTCAAAAAATGTACAAGTATATAAACTCCACGGTGGAAAAATGCTAACATTGTACAATTTATAATTCTTTCAGAAGTGATTCCAAAATAAATGCTACATTTTTGATGCTTTCTGGAAATACTATCTACAGAGCTATATAATGTTTTAAATCATAATCGATAACATCTGTGCTTAAGTAGTATCACGAGGGTACTGCAAATTCTCAAGTCAGTTATCAACAGTAAACCTAGAACCACCGATTAATCAGAGTGAGAGATTTTTTCAAGAAGAAAATCAACCCTTCCTCTCAATTTTTTCCTCTCTCTTGACAGCAAGTTATACTGAGGCACAAACAGTGATTCAGTGATCATGTTCTTAGCAATTGTGAGTTGGAGAATTGGGCTTGAAATGTTGCAGCTTTCCCATACTCAATACAGTTTAGGTCAATGAGAATGAGGACTCACTCTTATAATAGTATAGGTGGCAACAGTTACATTACTTTATATCAATTCCCATTCTTCATGGGTGGCCATGACAGTGGCACATTGTTTAGTTACATGCATGGACATTTCTGGCACCGACCATTGGAAAATAATTAGAAGCAAGGATTTGACTGCTGTTTCTTTTGTTACCTTCCTGTCCAGTAAAATTACCCCTCTAAATCTACACTGAATTGCTTTAACCAGTTTGAATACATACCAGGGATTGAAGCTGGGAGCTCCTTCGTCCATATGGCATAGTGGTAGATCATGTAAATTTGTAGGCTTACCACTCTTTTCAATTAATTGATAACACACTGAAAATGGAATTGTCTTAAAGACTGAAAATGCACACATTATTTTAAAGATAAAAAACTAATAGAGCTTAATCCTATTCAAATCATGTCAGACATCGCAGAGCAGTTAATGTCATAAATGGTACAGTGAAATCTGTTATTTAGATTTAGCTGGAAAGATTCTTGTTGAAATTGATTTCCAATGAAAGACAATCTGTTAAACATGCTCTGGAAGGCTTATTTATAATTAACGTTCAAACTAGTCTTTGCATTAATCTAGAGCAAATGTTTTTGTTTAGTGTGAAATAGCAGTCAGCAGTAGCAAAATGCAAGGAAATCCTATTTACATTCTATCTAGTATTGTGTCTTGGACCTTGCCTGCCTCCCTATCCTTTCAAAGTGTAGATTTTTCGAACTGGCTGGAATGCGAGTTGAGATGTTGGAGCTATATAGTGGCATAAATTTAATCTCTGCCAGTTCTCTGGCAAGTTCTATGAAATGTTAATTGCCAATTCACTGACTGGCTCAGATAGCACTAAATTTAGTCAGCCTCATGCCAATCTACTGTTTGCAGACTTTGAAGGGGCATTGAAGCATTTCTGTGTTCAGCTTCTGAAAAAGTGTCATTCAGAGAAAAGTGCATTAAAAACCTGAAGAATGCAGCTTGCAGCATAAAGATAATCATGGATATATTTTACACCTAATCTGCGAGTGGTGAACAAACAAGCTTCTTTGTTTCAATTTCCCTGAAAAGAAATTTTTAGAAGAATTTTGCCTGAGTAAATCTCTTGTAACAATTGAAATTTTAGACAACTAACAAACCACATGTTTAAGATTCAATCTGATTAAAATTATGTTTCTTAAAAAATAGTTTAAAATCTAGTTTATTTAGCATTTCAAATGCCCCTTCAATGAGACTATGGGGGACAAATTTATTCACATGGTGCCATTCTTGTGCTACTATGTAGAATTTGTTGATTTTCTAGGGGTAGCAGCACCACGAGTGCTCCTATGTGACATTGTACATCGATATATTGCCAAACATAGTGTGGGTCATACAGATAACAGCCCATTATGCTGCTCACATTTCAAGGAAATTGTTAGAAGTGGCGCTAAGTAAACAAATTACCCTCCATCGAGAGAGACCACAGTTCCATTGCAAATTACAGGTCTTAAATGACAGCTTCTATTGCAATTGCGTTTTTAGAGAGAAAAGTGAGCCGTGTTTTGCCAAGTTATAGAGCACATACAATTGAGTTAATCTCAGAGGTAGCACTAACCACAGCAGAAAGTGTGTAATGTTCCTTTAAGAATTTGCATTTGCACCAAGTCAGAATAAATTCACGAAATGGAGCATTGTGTCCTCCGCCTTTGCAAAATGTGCTCTATTCAATGTCACTCATTTTCTGTTGTGCTTCTACATATAGCTTAAGCTTAACTCTTCAAGATTTACAATGAAATATTAAAATCCTGGGTTAAATCTAGGTTTCCACCAAGAACAATTGCAAACAAAGTTAAGGGGCCTTCATACCTAACCAGAAATGGGTGACACGAAAACTGGATGATCCAACTGAAGAATTACTGCATCTCAGAAATGCAACCCCACACCATGTTCAGCATGAAAATTCACTTTGAATGAAAACACTGAGAAGTTACTGCGACCAAATTAATGTTATGGATATTTGCACAGGCTTGCACCACATGCCTCTTCCAAGTACTTAAGAATTGTTAAGAACAATCCAAAGACTATTGCATTGCCCTGTGTACATGCATCCAAAGGAAGTAGCTATAGAGACAGTGGTAACAATCTTGCAAGAATCCTTAGCTCATGGAAAAGTTCCAGAGGATTGGAAAGGTACCAACGTAATACCTTTACTAAGAAGGGATGGAGACAAAAAGAGGTAACTATAGGTCTGTGAGCTTATCATTCGTCATTGGGAAAATGATCGTCCAATACAAAGGATATAATAGCAGCATATTTAGGAATATATAATACGATCAAGCAGAGTAAGCAGAGCTTCATAAAATGGAAATCATACCTGACAAACTTATTACAATTCTTTGAAGAGGTAACAAGAAGAGAAGATAATAGGGAAGCCGTGGATAAAAATATATTTGGATTTCTAGAATCTCAAAGGTATTTGAGAAGGTACCACATATTAGGCTACTTGTTGAGACAAAAGCTCATGGTGTTGGGGGTAGTACTTTGCATGGATAGAGAACTGGCTAACTCATAGGAGACAGAGAGTTGGGATGAGTAGGGCATTTTCAGGAAGGCATCGTGTAAATAGTGCAATGTCACAGGGATCAGTGCTGGGGCCACAATTATTTACAATGTACATTACTTACTTGGAAAATGGAAGTGAATGTATATCACCAAGTTCATGGATAACACACAAATAGATGGGAAGACAAGTGGTGATGATGTCACAAGGAGTGGGCAAAGGGATATAGACAAGTTATGTCATGAGAGAAAAAAAACTTGACAGATGGAATATAATGTAGAAAATATTATGTAATGCACTTTTACTGGAAGAGTTGAATATTATTTAAACGGAGAGAGATTCCAGAAAACTCAGCACAATCCTTGTACAAGAATCACAAAAAACTAGCATTCACGTTCAGCAGGTAATAGGGAAGGCAAGTGGAACTTCTGAACAAGGGTCACGGAGTCCAGATGTGGAAGGATATTTTATGAGGAGGTTGGATCTCTAATCATTGGAGCTTTGAAGAATGAGAAGTGATCTTATTGAAAAATACAAGATTCTGAGATGGCTTTACAGGGATGATGCTGAGAAGCTGTCTGCTTTTTTGGGACCAGATGGCATAATCTCAGTGTAAGGGGTCAACCATTTAAGTCAGAGATGAGGAGGAATTTATTCTCTCAGTGGGGAGCGAATATGTGGAGTTCTTTACCATTGAGGGCTGACAAGGCAGGATCATCAAATATATTCAAAGCCGAGACAGACAGATTTTAAATTAGTAAGGAAATTGAGGGCTATGGAGAAAGTGAGGAAAGTGTAGATGAGGATTATCAGATCAGATCAGCCATGATTTTATTGAGTGGCAGAGTAGACTCGATGGACTGAATGGCCTACTTCTGCTCCTACATCTTTTAGTCTTACCCAAGTTCATCCAGGCAGAAGTGAAATTAGTTTGGGCAAAATCATTGCTTTGGAGTCGAGGTCAATGGTCAGTTATCTTTGGTAATAGCTAGTTTACACTTCAGAGCACCATTTTATTTTGAATGATTTTACAAGAGCAGAAATATGAGCACTTCATCTTGAACAGGATTCACTAATGTGAAGAGATGAAAAACATAAACTTGATACTTCATTCAAATGGGATGTTTTTCTCTGGCTTATTAAGTTTACAATGAATTAGAAGTCTTGGATGTTAACTAAATGCTGGCCACCAGTGGCTTGCCACTGATTCCGTGACGTACAAAATAAACTTGTCAATGGTGTAGGGGTTTAGCATGGTTGAGATTTTAGATTGGATTATCTCCTATCTGTGAAGAATAGTTTAGAAAATATTGTACAGGTTTTGGAGATAATCTCCAAACTCAATGTGTTGGACCCATAATGGGGGAAACTGAAAAAGTAGTCTTTGCATGGCATTGATGTAGAAATGCAGGTACATGGTGACATCCGAAACTATTCCCTATTTTATTCTCCCACATTGAAGTCGGAAGCACGAATGTGAATTTATTTAACATCTTTTTTTGGAGGTGTTGCGCTCATCAAGGTGAAGTAGGGGTGAGGGGGTTAGACTTTATTTACACTTTGGTCATCCATTATCTGTATCACCCATTCCGAGTAGGATTAGCACAACAAGTTGTAATCTACAGCCTCAGAAAAAATACTTCTCATTATTCTGCCACAACTGCCTTTTTATGACCTTACTCAGCTTTCAATGAGAAATTAACATGCTGAATGGGAAGGAGATTCAATCTGGAGTTCTATCTTCACTAGGAATTATAGGGGTGCATCAGCACTCAATTTTGCTTTCAGCAGAGATAAGACTCACAAAGCATGTAATCTACATCTGTAAAACACTGAACAGCACTGGTAACGTGAACAGTAAATCTATTCAAGCATCATATTCTTCTAATATGTAAGTAAAACATGCAGCCCTTTGAGCCTGTTCTCTTCTTCAATAAGATCATGGCTGATCTTTTACGTCAACTCCACTTTTTTGTACAAGTCCCACATCACTTAACTCCTTAAGTATCCAATAATCTATTCACCTGTCATCATGAATATACTCAACAAATGAATATCACTTCCTGTCTGGCATCAGGAATTTGAAAGATTGAGTAAAAATATGTGATCTCAATCCTAAATGGCCAAACTATACCATGAGTATGTTACCTCCAGTGCTAGGCTCCCCAAGGCTGCAGAAATAGCTTCTCTGCATCTACTTGGCAGCTTGGCAGCTCAATGGTTGGCACTGCTGTCTCACAGTGCCAAGGACTTGGGTTCAATTCGACCCTTGGGTGACTGTCTGTGTAGAGTTTGTACATTCTCCCCCTGTGTGTATGGGTTTCCTCTGGGTGCTCTGCTTTCCTCCCACAGTCCAAAGATGTGCAGACTAGGTGGATTAGCCGCGGGAAATGCAGGGTTACAGGCATAGTGTAGGGGAGTGGGTGTGATGGTCTTCAGAGGGTCTATATGGACTTGACAGGCCAAATGGCCTGCTTCCACACTGCAAGTATTCGATGATACTGTCAAGCTTTCTGTTATTATACATATCAATGAGGGCACCTCTCACGCTTTAAATTCCTACAAAGCTTAACTGTAGTTTACTCAACCCCTCAGCATTGGGCAATTCTTTTATCCCAGGAATCAGCCCATTGAAGCTTCATTGCACTCCCTCTAAGTATATATTTCCTTTTGCAGGAGACCAGAACACTGTGGGCAATTTAGCCACCTAACCTGGACATCTTTGGACTCTTGGAGGAAACCCAAACAGACACGGGGAGAAAGTGCAAACTCGACACAGACAGTCAGCCGAGGCTGGAACCGAGCCCAGGTCCCTGGCGCTGAGAGGCAGCAGTGCTAAACACTGAGCCACTGTGCCACCCCACAGGGAGTTGGGGAACTTTCTTCAGTAATTTGAATCCACAGGAAAATGAATTATAAATTTAGATGATTTTAAGGTTACAGTCTTATGTTATCTGGTAAAACTTTCTAAGCACTACATGTAAAACTATTTCAGTGCCACAACTACTCAATATATCTCACTGTAACTGTTGAATGCTTCAGTGATAATGTGTTGTCATCCACATACAACACAGCTTTGTTGTCAGGTTGATAGCAATCACAATGTTGCATGGAATAATTGATAATATCACACTGAAACTATCTCTATTACCATTCATGACCAGGATGCAAATGAAAGATCAATAGATCTGTTTTGTTTTGCTGTCATGGCTAACAGAAAATCTTTGGAAGGGAAACTAGAAGGACTCCTTAAACCTCCTTAAACTTACAACTGAACAAAGAGTTCAATTTAACGTCCTGCCCAAAGATATTCACTACAAAAATGGCTTTGTAATGAAGTATTGTCTGAATGTGTGTTCTCGAGTACCAGAGTGAAGGTTGAGCTTACAGTCTTCCAACTGAGAGATGAAAATGCTACCATCTGCGCTGACACTTTGAATTTTTTTTCATTTTAAAGTGGCAGCTTATTTTAAGTTGCAAGATAATAACTATCAAACAAGATGAAATATGCAGTGATGGCATGAGCTGCTACAGCAAGATAACCAAACTTCAGTGGATGCATCACTGAAACAGATTTATGAGTATTGCAAGCAAAGTTAGACCTGTTATCATAAATTTAACCATTTGAAGTAGATGAAAACAAATCCTTTGGAAGCTGAACCATGGTTTCTCCCTGTTTGGAGTGCTGGTGCAAAATGGAACTCATGACACGTGGAAGATGTCTACACATTGAAGAGAAAATGCTCACACATTTTATCGACATTCTCCTGTCAAAATTTAATTGCAGCTGTGCAATGCTTCAGCTTTGTAAATTATTCAAAATATGAAATCAGTAGCATTAATGATGGAAAAACTGGGTTTTACTTGAAAAATTGTGTGAAATTTTCACTAGCATTTGCTCAGTGTGAAAATTCATTACAGCATTAAGAAATACTGCAATATAATTTCACCTATTACTTTTACAAATATGCCAACTTGCTGTTTTAGGGTCCAGATGTTTCCATGAAACAGTCTATACAAATGTTTTTGCAGTTTTTAGACACCTAAATATTTCTGAAAAATTCAGGGCCTCCAATTTCAAGAAAGCAAAGGTGACATCTTTGCCTTTAAAACTCAGCCTAACCTGTGGTTTTTACTCATATTGTAGTCTCAAAATCCAAGTTATCTCCATGCACGGACACATCCTAATCATCACATACACAATGTTCATACATATTCGCTTCCAATGCACAACAATGAAACACAAAATTAAAGAGTTGCTTCATTGTTAGACACGTTTACTTACAAACAGTCTATCTTTCTGTTCTAAAATTATATCAAGCACTGGATCACAGCTAATGAACAGACACATCTCACAGGGACTTACCTGTTAATTCTAGAGATACTGGAACCTCCCAGCCTTCTGTAAAAAAAGTCATACATATAAAGCACCCACAAATTAACTTACGCAACATCTGGAACAATTAAAAGAAAATACCCACACTCTGGGAGTTATTTTTGTGAAATTATTGCTATAAATAAGGAACTGAAATTTGTAAATGAGACAAGGTCTTCAGGATTTATTTGATGTGTCAGGACTTTAAGTTACTTTGATTGCTCAATGGCATCACTTCCATTAGCTGTCACACTCAAATTCAGCTTGGAAATCTATCTCTCGCCCACTTCCATCTTACACCAGGCATTACCCAGTGAATTAATTTACATCATATACTGCCTCTTAAATAGGCAGAAAAACTGTAAAATCCCTGAACCAAACAATAAAACCATCAAAACTCTTTAGTTCACCTGAACAATGTTCACAAACAGTTTTAAACAAGATGTTTGAGAGTAGACACTACAGCATGGCAGCTGGGCACAGGTCAACATTGAGGAACAGTAATACTGAAATAAAGTTGGCATTTTTCAAATTACACGGGGAAGCCCAAATTTATTAGTTTCAAATTTTGCAGAGAGATGAAAGAAATAATAGCTTTGTAGAATCACAGTTGGATGTCTTCTTTGAAACATAGTGAACGAAGCTCCAAAGTTTGGCAGCATAGTTCAGAAATACACTGACAGCATCAAAATTTAGTTGCTGGCAAAGAATTGAGAACTGCTGAAGAAAAAAGAAACATGTTGTTGAAGTTTTTCTCTTTGCACTCATCAGGACAGATACAAGAACGCCAAATTTCAAAGGGAAGAATAAACTACATCGCATGAATACAGGGTGCTGATTGCTTGGCAAGTCAACACTAATTGGTTAAGACATTGCCATAGAAAATGCACAATACCCAATCAGTCTGTGCTTGTAACACACATAAGATAATGTCAAAAGTTTGATATGATTCCACAGGTTGACAGCATTTGCTGAACAACCTTGGGGATGTTAGGATTGAAGATTATCAGTCACGTTTGTGCTGTAGCTTAATTACTCTTACTAGCAGGCGTGTATATCCTATTAGGGTCCTACATGTCTAGCAATTACACCATTTTGTTTTGAATGAAACAAAAATCTACACGATAATGGTTCCCTTGTATGTTCTCCACGGCAACACCTTGACTAATCAGTGTGAATTTGTCAATGAATCAGCACACTTTTTGTCAGGCAGTATAACTTATGACCCCTTTGAAATTTGGGATTTTTGCATCTGTCCTGCTAATGGCAAAGTGTTTCCTTCATTAGCAAAACCTACATACTTGTATCTTAGTCAACACTCCTGCAATACAACATGAATCCAAAACAACATATCTTTTAAGAATTGCACTGTGAAAGATGTATGAAAATGGTCAATCTAGTCTGTAAATTAAAACTAGTATTTTCAAAACTGAACTGCAACAGAATATAAAAGGAATACATACTCATTTTACATAACAGAATGAAAGAGTTCAATGATGAAATGGCTGTAGGAGGCTTCTTAGAACAAATGTTACACCACCAAATATTGATTTTAAACTAAGTGTCTGCTCAAAATTATAGCAGTATGGGTTTCTTTTAAGTAAATATGTTTCTAACTATAATCCTAGTTAAAGGCAATTTTTTTTTTAGTTGTTATGCTTTTATTTTTAGCAGTAGCTTTTTAAAACACATTTGGTAATATATCACTTCAATGAAGATTATCAACTGTTTTTTTCTGGTACCACTGTATATTGAAGACCTAATACTTTAGTAAAGCCATGCATGATTTTCATCATAATTACTATGGTTAATTCCCAACACTCAGCTGTGAACTCCTGTTAAATGCTGTTATGTTTTGCAAAATTTCAAAGTGATCTCAACCTCCTTCATTTATGCAGGATTCAATTCTCACTAAATGTCACCAAGATGAATTTGCTGGATGCACATTTTCAGTTTCATCACGAGATTTGTTTGCTAGTTCAGCTCAGTGAAACCCAGTATCAGAGCATTCTCCATTCATTGGTGTACTAATTTGAATCTTACTTTTGTTCTTCACATTACTGACTATAAATGAAATAGGAAGAATGTAATATTGACCCCATTAAAGTGAATAAATTTTAATCAAAAGTCATAAACTGTCTGAATTTACAAAGATTTCCATTGGAGTGAAATTAGTTTTGGTATACCATAAGGGAAACATACTTTACATGCCAATCTTTTGTTCATTGCTTTGCTGTATTGATTACACTTTAACCAACTCGTAACATTCCACTCCATTTAATTTTCCTGAAGAATTATATACTTGGAATACACATCTGTTCAATAAGTGGTTTTGTACTGCAGCATATTGAGCAACATTGTGATTTCATAGATGCAAGCAAAAACTATAGAAAATCAGTTCTAGATTTAACAGGAGTACACTGTGTCAAGATATTAGCTATAAATAAAATTGAACTGCATCAGCTGAATATTGATGCATCATACTCTATCAGGCATTTCATCAAAAGTCATATGCAGGAACATTTATTATAAGAGTTACGTCTATTTGTAAAATGAAACACTTTAATCAGAACAAAGGATTACCTGGGAGTGTATGGCTCGGATGGAGGAGGGGGGATGAAAAGATCCTGAAGTGCAGAACTATCTCGTTTTGTAGGTGTACAGAGAGTACCGGTTGGCGTGGCAACACTACCAGTTGGACTTTTTGGGATAATTGGCTTTGGAAAATAAAGACAAAAAAGAATGGTAAACAGGTAAGATAAAGTGTCTGATTTCAATAGAATTTGATATTAATTGAAGTCAAATTATAAAAGGCAATTATTTTACTATAAGAACATAAAAACATGTGGAACTGCTTTTTTTTAATCATTACAGAAATGATAACAATGACATGGTATTATATAATCAGGTGCCACTAACATCTGATACAAACACTATTACAAATTCTGATCTAAATTAGGGCATAATATCATTTTATAAAACTACATCAACATGGAGAAATAAACAATGTACCATCTTGCAATTATTGCTATTCATGAGTTGATCTCACGAGTCAGTTTGAGGGGATGTTGGTTTCTACAAGCCCACCCTCTACCATACTAATTTTCATTCTCCTCTCTCTGGTTCAAAGGCATCTGGTTCCAGAAGTTGAAACGCTCTCTCCTAAGAGGTTAACAAGGATTAATCATCCAGTTTAATCTGCATTTGATATTGCACATTAATTGTCAACCATTTCCTGTTAGCAAAAACCAAACTGGGTGAAATTCAGATGAGCAAAGACTCCTATCAACTAAGTTCCAGTCAGGATGCCATCTTCGGCAAGCCCATCAGAATTGAGCAACAAAAGGTGGAATCTGTTTAGTGCTCCCAACTTTCAAGATTTGTCTCTGATATCAGAAGTACATTTTTGCAGCCAGGAACATAGCAGACTCTGAAACACCATGGGCATCGAATTATCAGCCAAGTGAAAGACTGAAGAGACAGTCAACTGTTGATAATATTCATTGGCATGTCATAAGATGATGAAGGGTGAGTACTCATCGTGACTGCCTTCTCACATCAGAAAGCCTAAGTATTGAGAGCAGTCCTTGTGTAGTGGTAATGCCACTGGACTAGTAATCCAAAGGCCCGGCTAAATAACCTAAGCACATGAATTCACATACCAGCACAGCAGCTGGGAATGTAAATTCAATTAATAAATCTGGAATTTGAAAAAAAATCCAGTAATCTTGGTCACAATAATAACGTGCTTTTGGGAAGGAAATCTGCCTCCTTCACTTGGTCTGGCTTACAGGCAACTTCAAAACCAAAGCATTGTGGTTGACTCTTAACTGTCGTCTCATAGGACTCTGCAAAGTACGCAGATTTTGTAGCAGTTTAATGCAACTAAAGCGAATGAAATTGAACAGACCACCTGCCGTCAACCTTGGCACTGGAAACAAAAATGGCAAAACCAGGCCGATTGATCATTAAAGTTCTTTTCTGGCTTCTGGGGCTTGTGCCAAAATTGGGAGACATGTCCCACAGACTAGGAAAGAAACAGTCTGACATAGTCATGCTCCGCTGAATCCTTACTTACAGACAAGGTCTCAGGTACCACCATTCCTGGATATTGTCCTCTCCCAATTGAGGACAGACACACCAGAGGAGCAGCATTGTGGTTTACAGTTAGGACTGAGTTTTCCTGGGAGTCCTCAACATTGATTCTGGACCCCAAGACGTCTCATGGCATCAGGTCAAACATGAGCAAAGACATGTTCTACCTAGGACAACTTATTTCCATCCATTCCCCTACCTCTCTTGGCTTATCAATCAGTACTCCTTATTGTGGAATGCTATACAGGAAGAAGCACTGAGAGAGACAAAGGTACAGCATATACTACGGATGGAGGATTTCAATGTCTTTCACGAACAGTGGCACCACTCCAGTCAAGCTGGCCACAGGACACTTCTCAAGACTGGGTCAGTGCTAAGTAGTGAAGGAACCAATGAGAGGGAAATAGCTACCTGACCTCATCCTCACCAACTTACCTTTTGCAGGTACATCCGTGCATGGCAGTATCGGTACATTTCAAACAGATTAAGCAACTCAAAACTGGGCATAACTGAAGCTACAATGTCAGACCTTTCAGGGTCAAAAGCTTGGAACACCCTTGCTAACAGCACTTGGGTGTTCCTACACCACATGGACTACAGTCATTCAAGAAGGCAGCTCACTACCACTTTCTTGAGTGCAATCAGTGATAGGTAATAAATCCTGGCCTAGCCATCCCATGAATAAATACAAAAAAAAGTGAGAATAGGAATGAAAAAGTGGCCTGATTGACCAATGTCAACTGCCTGTGTGATAACTGCTCCTAAAGTCCACATCATGCCTAAAGTCATTGTTTAACAAGTTTCCTTCTCATGAAATTCACCCCTGCTGACATTAAGTAAGCCCAGAAACAAGACCTCCTCCAGAGAGGCTGAGCTACCCAATGAACAAACATGAAAGCCTTGCTTACAATTCAACAAATGAATGTATTCAATCGGCTGTAAACAACTTTGGAGCATCCTGTGTATGTGAAAGCAACACATAATCCAAGTTCTTTCTTCCTTCTTCCAAATGCAAACAGTTTTAATTATATTAAAATTGCCTCAATTGAAGTGAGAGTGACAAAGGTCTGCATAGAGAGATAAAATACTTATAGTGCTAACAATCTAATATGTAAAACAGCTAATGCCACAAATGCTCTGCACATAGAAGAAGAAAATAGTTAACGCTTCAGGTGGAGAAGCTTTTCACCAGAACTGGAAAATGTAATAGGTGCAACAGGTTTAAGCAAGTATGGAGGCAGGGAAAATTGATTAAGATGCTGAAACATGGTCAAATGTAGCACAGTCTCAAATTATTTTGTTTAATTATAAGCTGATGGAAGACAATGTCTTTGCTCTTTCATAATTTCCTCAGTCACTCAGGTGATTAGTTAAAGGAAATTACTGGATGTAGACTGTCCAACATATTATATTTTGATTATGAGTTCTCTTTTACAGTAGTTGAACTAATATGGGCAGATTTAATAAGTGGCACAGCACCTCCGTCCTGACGTCGAAAGACTAACAAAATATTTTTACCATATTGAACTTTTAAAGTGAGTTTGATCAGAAATCCCTATTGGGGATAGGAACTATCAAATTTTTCAAGCCAATTTACACCTTAGGGAAAGAAGTTGATTTCCCAAGCCTTAAGGAATTGATAATTTTATAAAATAGCAATATTATTTCCACTACATGACACATATTTGAGTATTAATCTTTTCATTTTTCACAATGACCATTCCTACAGGCTCTTTGAGTGAGATTTCCAATTGTACATTCAATATGGAACAATATCTGTGCAATGACCCATGTCTGTCAGAACAGAAAATAAGTTAAGAGTGCCAAATCTCATTACACATATGATGAATGGAGCTGAAAGAAAAAAGAATTTTTATAATTTCATTTGGGACTGAATTTGAACTCAGCTCCTGGAAGTTTAAAGCTCTACACTAACTACACTGTGCCACCTAATCCCAAAGCCATGTTAATAATGACGTAAAGATTAAAATGAGGCAACTCTGGTTTGGAGGATTCAAACCATTTCTACTCTTTTTTAAAATCAATCAAGATGAGCAACATTATGATTAAATCCCATAGTTATATCCATTTTCTTGTACTGAGTAAGCATTCTGAGTGAAATTCAACATTCAGAGCACACTCAGCCCCAGAGTTACTAGATGGCAATATTCAAAGATGCCCTGCAAGATTTTTAATCAGTTACTCAGGACAATTCACAGGTCAAAGCAAAATATTACATACAGAGACTGAAGTCAGTGAATTGTGGGACAGACAGAAATATACCCCCCACATTAGAAGGGATAATGATTAGCTATATTGGAGAGAAGGCAACTGAATCCTGCAGTCTCTGTAGTTGGGTCCCAGTGAGAAGTCAAGTGCAGTTGACTACCACTGCCTAGCTGGTGCTCAAGGGAGGTCCAGGTGAAAGAGAAACAAACTCCCTGCAGAAATGAGTAGTTGATCAGTCGAGCTGAAAAGGCAACTGAACTACAGATTCGCCGCAGGAGATACTGTTAAATAGTTATTGGTGAAAATCTGGAACGGTACCATTGAATAAGTACTGGAGGATAGCATTTGGAGCTGAGGGGACACAGAACCAGGAAAGGAGAGTGATTGGCCAGAATAGGAGCCATCATTGAGTTAATTACATGACAGATGCCTCTTTGAGAGGGAGTTTTAACATCAGGTCAACAAAAATGAAGAATTGTGATCCCATGTGAAGTTTAATGAGATTTGATTACCCACTATGTAATTAATGTCAAGGGAGATTTACTTACAAAGCCATGGGATCTGTCTTGAATACATTTGCTATTTGATTTGTGATGTGCAGTATTCAAACACAGTGCATCCATGCTGACCAGATGTTAATCCTGAATGTTAGAAATAAGTTATTCATCTATTGTAGATTGTATTATCATTGGGCAGTAAAGTTTACTGCTGTTGTTCGAAAAAGTAGAATCTTAAGGCTTTATTTCTTGGTAAATCCCCAGGATCTCACTTCGTGTTGACTTTAAAGATAAACATTATTGTGCCCTAACCAAACAAAAACATAATTCGGTGATCTTGTTCGTGATCATAACAATAAATTTGGTGGTCTAGTCTGGGACTGTAACAACAAATACTGGTCACGAGTGCATTCAGAGCAACAAATATCTCCCAAATATTGGCTTGATATTGATCCTTGATCTCTGGTCAAATGCATGAGATATGATGGGAATTTACAATTCATAGTTACTCATATTTTAGTAACAATATCTCATGTAGTTTGGCTCAGAAGCAGTGGGAAAACACCTCCATGCCAAGAAACAGGGCCAACCACTTGGGACTGCTGAAGACATGAAAGAGTAATATTGGTAATGACCCAGGAGCTGGTGAATTGTGGAAAGAATTTTCCAAGTGGACAGTGTGAGGAAAGGAATGTAAATAAAATGGAGATACCACTAAATTTTATGTTACGATCAATGCTATGCAGCAGGATTCAAAGCCACGATCTTGCAAATAGTAAGCTTACAATACTTTCTTTCTAGATATTTACAGTGCTATACTGTATGTGCATTTTATTTATTAAAAATTATGTTTACCAAAAAGATAATAATTATATTCTAATTGAAACATAATTGTC